AACCATAGAAGCATTACCTTGACTAGTATAGCATCTAAAATACTAGCTTCAATAATTATCGGACGCCTAACAAAGACTCGTGAACTGCAAACACGAGAAAATCAGGCTGACTTCAGACCTGGTTGTGGCTGCATTGACCACATATTCACCATTCGTCAGGTTATAGAACACAGACATGCTTATCGGCGTCCGACAATCGTGGTCTATCTCGATCTTAAAGCAGCATTTGACTCTGTAGACCGAGAGGTTCTATGGTAGTGTCTGTCATTAAAAGGCGTACCTCAGAAGTACATAAATTTTGTGAAGGCTCTTTACTCGAACACTATTAATCGAGTGACAGCTTGTGGTGTCCGTCAAGGCTGTCCACTTTCTCCATTTTTGTTTAACTTCGTAATAGACCTATTGATAGAAATAACGCTCTCGTCGACTGAATTTTCGTTCATTGATCTCCTACCATGATGTCCACTTATGGACTTAGCATACGCAGATGACATAGTCCTGTTTAGTGAAGACGCTGATAAAATTCAGTCTTTTGATAGCACTGAGCAACAATGCCAGGATGTTTGGGATGCGTTTTTCCCCCTCTAAATGCAGGTTGTTGCTTCACGACTGGCGTGCGTCAACACCTGAACTAAGGATAGGGAGTGAAGTAGTCGAACGCGTCGACAACTTCACTTATCTTGGAAGTCTGATCAGCCCAAATGGGTTGGTGTCTGACGAAATCTCAGCACGGATTCGAAAAGCTCGATTGGCTTTTGTCAACTTACGTCACTTATGACGAAGGCGGGGTATCCGTCTATCAATTAAGGGACGAGTATACTGCGCAGCAGTTCGTTCTGTTCTTCTTTACGGCTGCGAAACGTGACCATTAAGAGTAGAAGACACTCATAAGCTACTAGTATTTGACCACAGATGCCTTAGAAATATTGCTGGCGTCTGCTGGGATCACCGGGTAAGTAATAGTGAGGTTAGACGCAGGGTATTAGGGAATGATGGTAAATCAGTTGATGAGGTTGTGGATCTTCATCGACTGAGATGGTTGGGCCACGCGGTACGTATGCCCGAACACCGATTACCACGACGTGCAATGCTAACCGGTGTTCGGGATGGTTGGGGGAAAGTTAGGGGCGGTCAAACCAAAACGTGGTATCAGTGCTTAAAGTCACTAACTTCCAGTCTGAGCCATGTTGGTAGATGCAGACTAGTTGGTTGGGGTCCGCGTGACTATCGTAACCAATGGTTGGAGACTCTTGGTGACATGGCTCAAAATCGATCACAATGGCGTAGGTGTATATACTCTCTGTCTTCCCTTAGACCGTGAGATTGAAATCGCTTCGTATCTTTCTTTCTACGAACTAATTCTTTCTTCCTCTACTATATCCTTATATGCAATCTTTCTTTTATATATTACCACCTCTGAATTAACTACTTCTATGAATCCAGTGTTCATCATGCCGAGCTACTGAGGTGTAGCAACTTGGACCGATGTATATATGTGCCTGGTCCTACGTTGTAGCTGATTGACTTCACATTTCCAATCACTGGTTAACCGTGTGGACAGTTGACGATGAACTGTGTTTGGAAAAGTCATTTGAAGTTAAGAATGTTTTAGAGAAAATAAAATGTGTAACGACAAGACAACTTAAGAACTTCATCTGTCGAAACCTCCATAGATGTTTTGAACAATTGAAATGGCAAACGGAACTCTATTTCCGAAACGTGGAGTATTTCTGAGAGAAATAAGATAAACGTACACTACAATTTGTAAAAGAGGCATATGACATTAGTTCATGCATTTATCGAACATACCACTTAACCATATGGATAAAATATATCAAAAAACATAAAAACTCAGCGTATGTCATCGTATGATCTTTACTATTCGTGGTTTTTAAATAAATGACTCGTTTAATGACAAATAAAATTCCTCCTAGTTTATGACAGTTCGGCTAAAACAACTGATTTAACTCATGATTCTTTCAGGAAATTTCAAAAAGAAAAATAAGACAGTTATTAAGCGATTACATGTTACTAACTACTAAAAACTATTTGGACGATAACAATCCTGTGATCACAAAACAATATCATCAGAATACTGAGTAATTATCAGACAGCTCATCATAACAGAAAACAATAGTGCTTGTGACAGACTGATCACTGAGTGGTGATAAATGTCATGTAAGTTAGGTCCTTCTTAGTTGAGATCGAATCCTATCGACCAAGTTGCAATGTGGCCACTAGTTTAGGTGACTCGAAATTGAGCGCACAATGTTGAGATAAGATGGTGACTGGAGGTAGTCGACAGAAGACCCTTGATCTGGACATTGGTCACCACCCACTGACCAATCAATTGTAAATACGTCCAAGTCATAGAGGTTGGATGCGGCCCGGTGGTAACAACCCTGAATGTGAAGCTGGGTGATACGGGATTGAATCCGTCAGGAAGCATCAGTTATCTCAAGATTGCTGAAGAGAGCCAAATGACACGAAACCTAGGTCTAGAGTTTTCTGTCGACTACCTCCAACCACCATATTATCTAGACAATAGTGTTAAATACTATAAATAATTATGCATAACAATTTATATGAACCGACCATTTAAATTCACTAATAAATTTGTAAAGATTTTAAAGAGTTCGAATAACTCAATTTACGTCAGAAACCAATTTTTATACGTTAGATAGAAGTCTAGTTATATAGAGAACATACAATTATAAAATGTTGAATATTTTTAGTAGTTTGAGCATTGAGGTTAACACTGTTTTGAGTTGATTAGATGAAAATAAAACTAGATAATTTCCTTTCGGAATTATTGTTTTCTTTACAAATACTGTACAATATTTAATCAATTTTTTTCTATTATATGCAATAAAAATAATAATAAACAACGAAAATATTCACTAGGAAGGGTAGATAATAAGTTCAACTGAAAACTGACGATTTCAATATCAGATGTCTCCAATTCACTGGTATATAACAGGAATAGACTTATACTTATCGGAGTATACAACGATCTTTAAAATAACACTGTAACTGAGAATAAGTTTTGAATCAGTGATTATTAAACGATACTAAAAAAACAATTAGTCTTTTGTAAAATCATTGTAATAAATTTAACTGGTCAGTCATAATTGATTTTTTTAGTCTTGTACATTTTTGGGAATGTATTGATCAATAAGTTACAGATATATTGAGAATACAACCAAATCTCCACAACCGAGAGGAAATCATTAAGATTTGTCTTTTTTTTCTAGAAATTTCCGGAGGACCCAGAGAATCTTCATAAAAGTTTATTTGCAGAAATCTCACACAATTTCTTTATTATTATTTCGAACGAAGTGAGCAAATAAATAACTTTTAAATGTAGGCCTAGGGTGTAAGAGCAGATGAGAATCGTATGGGTGGCTGAAGGGGAATGTTGGCCACAGATCGGATAACGCTGACCGATTTCTAAAGCTCTGTGAGAATCACAATCTATTTCAGATCAGCACCAACTTCTTTTCCTATTGTCGCCTACCTCTTTGCTACCTGTAATTCTTGCTCTGCTCGAAGTCGTCGGTTACCGATAGGGTGGCTGTGTACGGAACTGGAGTACCTATCCGTATTGATACTACAATAATATCCCCTTATCTTTTGTTTTAGAGTCCAACAAATTCATTGTCCTAAATGGATTGATCTAAATAAACTAGGTACAAATCCTGTTAAAACCAAATATCATAGTTATGTTCAAAGACTAGTTTTCGACCCACTGACCATATCTTGACTCTCTATCAAATGCCAGACCGCTACCACATTTGTTTCAGGATAACAATCATTGTTTCTTGACATCAAGGTCGATACCAACCTGTTGAATACGACTGCGTCCTGACATTGTCCATTGAAGCCAAATGTGGTTAAGAAGTTTATTAACATGTTGAAGAATGAAAAAGCAATAGAGATAAAGTGGCAGCACAACCAACTCTTCCCATTTTTCTAACCCAATAAAGGGATAAATATCGATAACCTTAAAGAAACAACCCGAGAAGTATAGTGATGTAGACCTGTTAGTTGGTAAGAAACTTTTCAACCTCAAATACGCGAATGGCACTACCCTATAGTGCGGTGATATCCATTCTACCCCAATAGTACGTAATTATTAGACAGTTACCGCCCTTAAATACAGCATTTAACCTGTACCTTCAAAATTAAAAGTACTTTCACAAGAACGCTACGAGATTGCGAACGAACTAATTTATGATGGGGAATGTGTATTTTTGTGCAGCTGTCAGTATCGTTAGTGTTATGTCATCTGAATTCAATCTATAGGTAGTGAAGATTAGAGCGGCTTAAACTAATCTAGGTTATTTCTGCACCTGTTATTATTTTAGTCTGGTCCTAAAGTTTGGGATGTACAATGTCAATGGGAGTATTTCTGATCTACGACAAAATACTGACCCCTCCAAGTTGAAGATGCTCGGTGACTTTCTGTACTCGAATACCATTGAATTCAATAAATTGTTCACACCTAGAGACGACACTTTGTTAGTTATCCTAGAGCTCAACAATGTGTTCGAGCACTGTCACCATCTTAACAGATAGGATTCAGTAGCTTGATTACGCGTTACGCATGTCACTCTAAAGGCCTCCACAGTTCCCATTATTTGCCGACTCTAATTAGTATGAAAAATAGCCTCATACGACTAGCAACTTCAGGTCCAACAAAACTCCCTGATTGTGAAATCAAGGAGAGATTATGGAAACTAATGGTTTGAGATATTATAGAGTATGGTTCAGAATAGTTTCCGATTATTTTCATCATAAACAAGAAGATATCTGTCTTGGTTGGATCATCAACCGTACAATACTCTTTATTAAAAAGTTAACTGACTTAAAAATTGTAAAACCTTTCCATTTTCAATTTCTTAAAAATACTACCATTTTACTTTGTACGGAGCGTTTCTGATGTTCTAAAACACCAGAATTTACGCGTAATGTATAGAGAAAGTGATTGAACACACAAACATATATTTACTTCTACACATGCCGAATAAATCTAGCCCAAATAAAAGATAATGAAATCATACCAAACCGTTAAAGATTTATTTAATACAAAACATCTCAAGATTGGATTTGTACAGAATAATTTGGTAGAAAACAAAGAAATGCAGCCAAATATATTTACATAAATGTTAATAACCATCGACCACTTGTAATTTTAACAAAAACTGATTGCTTCCTTCAAATATGGAGACTACATTTTACTATACATAAGGAAATTATATATATATATATACATATATATATATATATATATATATATATATATATATATAACTAGTTGGTTTGACCAATATATACATCATTTTTTTATTCCTAAAGAATGTTCTAAATGTTCTCTATCTGTACCGAATTGATAATAATGTGGAGCTAATTCCAGCAACCAATCTGGTTGTATAACACTGACACCACTGATACAAGTACTTGACAGGTCATTCTTATTATTATTATTTGATTTAGTATCATTATTACAATCTAAATTAGGTGTGAGAAATACATTTGTAAATAAGATATAAGCAGGCCACCGTGTTGTAGACGAGTATAAAATACAGTTAGGATGTAAGCGTAATTGATGATCTCCTCTTACAGTTAAATAATGTGAACCAGATGAAGCGAGACGAGCAGCCTTTTGTTAATAGAATGTAAAAAAAACAAATAAATAAATAAACTACATGAAACAAATACACTAACTAAAATGACATTTAACAGGCTATCATTCACATACATCACAGAATTGAACCTCATACACATTTCATCAATATATACACTTGTGTGATCTATAGAGATTTGTTCGTTTTAAAGATGATCGGTGCAAAAAGTTGATATTAACTACAGAACAACTGGGAACTAGAAAGAGTTGAGTAGATATCGAATTCTTCTTTCAAATTCTTTATAGTACATCAGCCTTTTTCAGGCTTTCTATTCGAATATTAATGGTTAAGTTAGAGCTGATAACTTCAAGTGGTGTTTATCAAGACTATCCAATTTTCTAGTTTTTATTTAAATTTTTCACAGACATTCTTTTAGAGATAACAATCTCATTATCTGGCTTAAGATGGGTCGATATTTTATCAGACTTCCTTATTGACTTAAAATACGTAGATAACATAGCACCATTTGGTCAAGAGGCTAACAAAACTCAGTCTTCTTACCGCCCTAAGCAGAAATATAAGCATGTTTGAAATGCGATTGTATCCCTCCAAATGCGAAATGCTACCCAGAGAGAAGCCTGAGTCAGCAACTAAATTAATGACAGGAAGTGAAGTGGTTAAGTGTGCTGGTCACTTAATTTGTTTTGGAATTTCCATCAGTCCTCGTGGCCTAATGTTCGGCGGAATCCCGGCCACGGATTCAGAAAGCTCAACTGATTTTGCCAACTTGTGATGTAGGTAAAATACCCGTCTGTCAATCGAATGATGAGTTTACTGCGCAGCAGTCCGCTATTCTACTTCATAGCTCATAAACATGACCATTAATAGTAGAGGATATTCGTAGGTTACTAGTATTCAATCATAAGAATCCTCCAACACATCGCTCGCGCATTTTAGGACCAATGACTCAGCAACGCCGAGGTTAGGAGTAAGGTACTAGGTGAAGATGGCAAGTCAGTTGACAAGGTAGTGAAAGGTGATCAACTGAAGTGGTCGGAATACGTGTTACATATGCTTAACCATCACCTAACTCGATAGGCGAAGTTATTTAGTGTAAGAGTAGGTTGAGAGGTTAGGGGTGGCCGAACCAAAACGCAGCACCAGTCATGATCTTTAAGTGTTGAGACAAGCACAGTGCCATTAAACCACTGGGTCGGAATCTAATTGTTTATTATTGTGCCCCTGAGAAACTCTAAATCAGGGTCAAACATCGATTCACTGCTACTTCGTATCCATCGCTGATATTACTTATCTAACTAGTCCAGAAGTACTAATCACATTTCATTTAAATATACCAAAAAGATATTTGGATTACTCTATATACAATGTTAGGACTATGAATGTCTATATCCAAGTGTTCCTCTCGTTGTTCATAAGAAATCAAAATCACACAATGTATATTCCAGTTGGGTAATAGAATCTACTGTTTATTGTGCATTATTCTGGTCACTACATATTGCAATATTTGAACATAAAGTATAATTCTTATATCAAATATCGCTAAATTTATGAACTGTATAAAAAGTTCATTTTATATATACGCCGATTTGTAATAATAAATGGAATGTTTGACAAATTTAATTTTGTAAGATACACTTTATTTTTGGGTAATTATTATCACTTTTATTTTTCTCATAGTAATCATGACAATTTATACATATTTTTGATATTCAATCATATCATAGTCTCGCTCTCTTTCTCGTCTATTCATGTCATCGATGACTTGAGGTTGCACGAATATGAAAATTATTTGTAATTATTTGAAACCAGTGTAGTAAATGACTTTATGGATTTCACACATAGTATTACATACATCTAACATTTCTTTATTTCTAAAAATCAGTTAGTATGTGGAAGATTTAGTACACGTGAAATAATGAAATACATCCAATTCATCCCACAATATTTGTTGTTATTACTTTACAAAAGTTTATCGAGGGAACTAATTGCAATAATTCATTTATATGTATACTCAAATTTAATTTCATGAGATTATCTTTTCTAAAGAAAGATAAACTTCATCCAAGCATTGGATATGCAGTTTCGTGATAAACAACAATTATGAAAACAAACAATTAAATAATTGAACATATGTAACTTTAACGAAACAAATTGATTGTCATAGAAGATACATAAAAGTATGCTTTGAAACGGAGAATAAATTTCTCCACTTATCACAAAAAATCATTGTTCACTGAATGAATTTAAATTGAAACAACCATGTCCAGTTGTAAGGATGTCGAGGAAACTGCCGTATCTGGATTCGAAGTGTCACTACAACAATTGCAGTTACCGTAAACCATATCAGAATAATACAGTTAGTTATCTACCCACCAATGGTAATGGATATTTGTCTAGCAATATGTGTGAATTCACTTAATTTGGAAGTGAACACTACTGAATTCCGATTTACTGTTTATGAATGGGATAGTTAACATTGGAAAACCTAAATGTTCATAGTTTGATCCAGTATGGATGCGTGAGTTTTGCTTAGAAGTGCCAGTTAGAACAAAATATCTGTTTTTTTTCTTTTAGCTAACACTAGTCCGTAATGAAAAGCATCCGTACAAAGGAAAATATATATATCATGAATTTAAACTTTACGGTCGCAGAAAACTGGTACTAGTGGCTGAGGTTTTCTAAAAACAATTAAACACTATCCTAAAAAAGAATTATATAAGGTTAAAAAACAAAAGTTCAATGAGACAAATTGTTACTTGATGAAAAAATCCGCGAACAAGCGCCCTTAGTACTGGATTAGGATTTCCTTCAGGCTCTGCTTTTACCCAAGGCAATTTTAAACGATGAAACATGGAGCCAATTCGATCACGTAGTATAACTGCATGAGCTAGCCCACGTTCATTTAAACCTACTTCTCGACACCAGGTTCGAAGTTCCGACTTTGACAATAATTTTGATTGGTTCTCATAAGCAACAAATGCATTTAACTCTGTTAAATGATCACCTTGCTGACAACCGAACGTCTGCCTACGAATACGATCACTTGTGTGTTTATAATCAGAAACCGTAAATATTCGTTGGATCTAAAGAGCCAAGCAAAAATACATAAAATATTCACGAAAATTCATAGTTATATAAAAGTCTCAGTATAATTTTATTACGTACCAATAAATAACAGATTGTAATTACTGGAATGTAAAGTTATACCAAATTAATTACTCACTTGCATTAATGAGACAATCGCAGCAATCTCCTGAGAACATCCTTCATCACAAGCACCTAATAATGCAGCTGCAGTTGAAGGCTGGTCTAAACCACACGTTGTAGAAACTTCTGCTAATTTTAAACCACGAGGAATTGTAAGATGACCAGAACTAGCATCGAGAGCACCTAAAGCAACAAGTCGTTCAGCAGACTGACCTACATGTGATGCAGGTGGTGGATCGAGCCAATCAAACTGAGCTAAACGATCGATACCAAGCGTTTTTAAGCGTAACAAGGCACCAGATAAATCAACACGTAAAGATTCTGGTAGTGTAAAACGTGGCAAGAGTTTATTATATGCCTCTTCAGTATAAAGCCGATAAGCCTGTAATATCATCATAAGTGACAGAAAAAAGGACTATAATTTATTGTAAATATTAAAATCAATGATATTTTAATTACACACAATTAGTTATTGTTATATCTTGTGGCTTGTGCCCTATTAATATATAACGTAATGATACCGTCAACTAGAGAACAGTGACTTATCGACCGGACCAATGACGCATAAACCCATACGATCAGTCTAGAGTCCTTACCGGTCCTTCTTCCTGCCTAGCCCTGCCCATTAAGTCCAGAACATCAATCTCAGCCTCTGAGATATGAATCATGTACTTCAAACATACTGGGCTTATATACAAACCAAGCAGACAGCATCGCACCACAAAATAGATCACAACATTTGTACAAGATCTAGCTAAAAGTGTCCGTGAATGTGTGAGACTGTAATTAATAAATTGGGCATAACTCAAGAACGGTAAATCGTATAATAGTTTGTGGGTCAAAATAAAGTTTATAATAGGAGGAACATGAATATGAACAGTTTAGTTACTTAATAATTCTACAATAAAAATATATGTATCGTATTGGTCCACAAATAGTTCTCAAAAGTTACCATTCATAATTCTCGTCGGGATATAACAGTTATTACTTAGAAACTATTATCGATATATGATAATAAACAAGGACTTCTATGGCCGCTAATACTGTATGCGGATATTAGCACTCAAATGAGTAAACGTGACAGTCACAAATCGAAAAACAGAATAAAGAGCGAGAAGCGGTTATTGAGTAAGTTTTAAAATATGTACAGGAAAACAGGGGTATTTATGGTTTTTAGTCTGGGCTACATCATTATAACCCAACCGATCCGCTAGTAGGGACTTATACAATGTTCAGTAATGGCATGCCATGTTGGTATTCTAGAAAGTTCTATCGACTCCTGTAGTGCCTCTGGAAGCTTCGTCGCGCTTTCTGGGAGGTGTCCCGACAAGGATAAAGATATAACACGACTAGTGTTATTGTATGTAGACGTGATTTAGTAATATATACTTACAGTTTGCTCTTCGAATCAGATGGAAGCACTGTTAGTGAACTGAAAGTATGGTTAATTTTCGTTTATTCAGTGTGTATTTTATTGTACGCACATGAAAAAAAGAACTTTATGAATATCATAATACAACTTAGATATATGGAAATAATCTCATGGTGAACCAATTTGATTGGTAAATATGTATATTGAGAGTTTTATATGATCGTCTTTACCTACTACAAATAATATGCTTTCGCTATTACATTCTCTTAGCACTAACATCAACTAATTGGAAAAATTAACAGAAATAATTTAAATGGGTAAGGTAGCTAATATACTTGCTAATATCAAGTTAACAGACTTTAAAACTATTATTATTATAAATGAAATAACGATGTAAATAAAAGTGTAGCCAAGAGATATAGGTAACTCAACCATATTTTGCTAACCTGTCCAGTTCTTGTACGTCCGGCTCGACCAGCACGTTGACGTGCTGAAGCTTGAGATGTAGGTATAGTAACTAAAGCTTCAAGCCCATTGACAGGATTATACGCTCGAATTCTTGAAAAGCCACAATCAATCACATAAGAAATCCCAGGAATTGTAACTGACGCTTCCGCAACATTAGTGGCCACAATAACTTTACGACAAGACCGAGTTGGTCGTTCAAAAATACGAAGCTGTTCATGTTGAGGAAGGGAACCATGAAGCTGTAAGCAACGTAAAGGTGGGTAGTTAGTAGGTAACTTTGTTTTGGAACTTTGTTGCTGAGTATTTAAGAAACGCTCCTTGCGGTTCCGATATTCTTCAATTAGATTGCCAACCAGTTGGGAAACTTCATTCTGACCTTGGGAATCAAAATAAAACTGAATGTAAGTATTTTCCAAAAAAGAAACACGAATCAAAATTGCAAATGAGTTTAATGCCACCAAATTTCGTTTCAGTACAACTTCGTACAAAAACGCACACTAATAAGATAAACAGGAATACCCACAACGTTACAGCTACAAAATAGCCATGTTCATCTAAAACCACAACCAATATATAATTTCAGGTTGAAGGAACTATATATTAACTTAATCAGCAGCAAATTTATTCAAATTTATAACAATTATTGTGTCAGGTCATCAGTTAAATTAGTATGTCAACTGAAACTTGTCAAATCTATCAGTAATGCGACTAATTAATTGAAAAGAAAAATAAATAATTACTGTGTATATACTTATCAGTTATCCTTCAAGACAGAACAACCTGTCGACTACAGAAATCTCAATATGCATAATCATTACTAAAAAACTGATGGTAAACAAAAGTCGATATCTTTATATTATCATCAATTCCTAATATCGATGTCCAATAGGAACAGATTTCTGCAATTTTCGTATATTGTTCAACATGATGTCAACTCAGTTGATTATGTAAGAAAAACTTAAAAAGCTGTGGAACAAAGTATAAATACGCACACGATGTTATTGCAAAAATATGATAGCATAAAGTCTTAACTGATAAAAAAAGTACTTCTATTATGTTTTCCTCTCTGAAGTAGTATGTAGCGGGAGATAAACAAAGCACACCAATCAATAATGGAACATTGAAATAAAGTGTATAGTACATCTACCTCAAAATAAGCAAAATATTTTGATGCATCGACGTATTCTTAAATACTGCAGCTAAGTAATCAGGTCATGTGAACAAGCCTAATCACAATAGACACAATAAAGTCTAGACTAATAATTGTAATTAACAGAGACTAAGGATGAAATTTCCTTGTCTATAAGACATGATTCATAACATATCCTAACAAAGTAGATTTTATGACGTACTATTTAGAGATAAAAACTGAAAAAAGCAACTAATTGGGACAGACTGAGTGTATTTACTGCTTAGCAAGAAAAATACTGAAATGCGAACAAAACTGAGTCAAGTCAGTAATGTGAGTAGTAAACAACATGTTGAATTTGACGGAATTGGTTCCTTTTATAAATTTGAATATAGCCAGAACAAACATTGATGCAGAATAATATGAATTCATTATATTTGATAATTCACTTTTAACGACATATCTGAGTTTACTTTTAACAGCAGATATTTGAAAAAGATTAATTTTTATCATATCGATTGTTAGCGTAACAATAATTATAGTTAATGCAGGGATTTGTTGTTAATTTTTGTGGACTATATTAATTGAATGTAGAGTTCACACTTGACCTTTGCTATATGACCATGAACTTTTCACCTAATTTTATCTTTGTAACAATTGAATATTGCAGTTTTGGGTAATTTTTACTCATAGGTCAAATAATTTAAACTCATTATTATCTTTTAGTCATAGATAAAAAGAGTATTATTCAAATTTACAACAAAATATGTGTTTATTGTGAGATTCAGTGAGAGGACATAGTAGTAGAAGTAATTTATTTGGTCTATCTTAACAAGCATCTTTCAAGTGACTATTTAGAATCCATCGATTATGATATTAAATTTCCGTTTCCGAGCACGTTCCAAAGAACGTGGAACTGAGAGGTGAAATAGATCGGCATTTATTTGACACAAGACATACCACTGACATTTCATAAGCCTTCAAAATCATTAGCAGACGAAAAAACGCAGCGTTTTTTGGTAACCCGAAACAATACCAATAAAAGCCGCAAACCTGACTTCTGTATCTAGAAAGAAACAGTAATAAACTTATCACTATCTTGGTAAATTATTTTTTCATTATCATTATTTTATTAGTGCTTATTTTGTTATGGGGTCTTCTCTTAACTAATTCTTATTTTATGTACACCAAAACCATTCCTGCACTTATACGTTTTCATTCACTTAATTCTCGCTTATTCATTTTTCATTCCAGTGATCTTATGTAAATCCATCATAACATCTAAAATTATCAAACAATCTATCTTATCCGTCTCCGGACCTCATTTAATTAATGCATCACTTACCCCTTATGTTTTTGAATCCCAACTCCAAATGACCTCTTCTAACCTGTTCCTGCATTTATATATGTGGATATTATTACTAATCTCATATGGCAAATATTTACTTTCGCAGTTCTATAAGCTTCCTGGGAAAACTTAGTGTCAAGTCTATTTATATATCAGTATAAGATATTTAATACGATACCAACATACCGATAAAATGAGAAAAAGTTCCGCACAAAACTTCATTGTGTGTGTTACAACTTATTAATCAAAAAGCATTCTGCACGTTATTACTCACTTGTTCATTTCGCTCAAAAGGTTTAAACACCAATTTTCATGAATATATATATATATATATATATATATATATATATGCCTGTCGGTGTAATAAACCACATCATTATTCACTACAAATCGGTACCTAGAAATACCAGCTGATTAAAAACGATCAATAGAAAGCCCATATATATCCCAGAACCAATTTAAACCACCGAGATATTTTTGAAATCTTTGAGGAACTATTGTCACTCTCAGAGATCTAAACCTACATCACTAAGAGACAGAATGTCAGTTTTATGAAGAAACTAATCAATATTGATTTCATTCAGTACAAATGTATAACTAGGTTATGAAGAATACAAAAACAAATTACAGTAGAATTATTACTGACTCATACTTAAAGTTAAGTGTGATAATCTCTTAACCCACTGAGCTGTAGTGAAATGTTATCAAATGCTAATTCAACGCAGCTATTTTTCATTCTGTGGTACCACGTCACAAAATGCCCATCTCTAGTTTTCAATCCCATTTTAGTGGCAATAAATGCTTACAATGTAAACTAATAGAATGTTATGCGTAAAACGTGTGCAAGCTATTGGTGCTGAAGTCAGGTGGGTGATAAAATGTTTATTAACTGGAAGACAATTCTCACTGAACACACACGTCCTTTGAGAAATAATCGAAAATCTCTAACCTCCAGACAGGTTAAAAAGCAGTTCATTAGTACACATCGAAGAGCTAGGTATCGTTAGGTGTGTGAGATACCGTTCACTTATGGAGTTAAGATTTGGCAGTTTTTTCTTCCAAATTATATTTAAGTTGTAAAAAACCCACATCACTGCTATGTACAACTCTTATCGATCATTATGAAAACTGAAGTTTCATCGTACACAGTGTATTGACTATGTTGTGACATATCAAAGAATCGAATAAAATCAAGATAACGCAAGTAGTGATGAGATACTATTCAACTTTTTTTTGAAATCTCTTTTGGATTAAAGATTAATGAGAGTAAGAAAAACAACCATTATTCCTTGAATACACACAGGTTTCAGGATTCTCTAAATTACAATCGTTCTGTTGTATGCTACAAAAATTGTCAATGATTTTTCTAACTGTATTTTTTTCTCATTTGCAACTATTATGTTTCTGCAATTCTGAATTGTACATTAATATGATGTGAATGAACCTTTCCTTTGAAATTTCTTGTAAAAAGTAACGTCTATCATACATCACATTTAGACATCTGCGAAAAAACAGTCAAGAAAATTTTGTACAGCTTGAGTAATATTCTTAATTTAACAATTATTTGCATCCAGAATGTTTACCTGTGACAAAGACAAGTATATCACCACCTAATGGTTTTGTTTCATGTATCCGAAAAACAGTCTCTTTAGCTGCAAATAAATAACAAGGAACGGGATCAAGTGAGTAAAATATGGACACAGGATATTGACGTCCTTCCACATTTAAATGTGAAACAGGAGTTAATTTTAGCCCTTGATTTTCGGTTTCAACTTCAGGTATCTTCATTTTTGAAAAATACTCTATAAATCTAGAAAAGAAATAATAGTTTTTTTAAGAAAAAAGGACATCAGACAAACAGTTTTCATCAAATTTATTACTTACTTACGCCTGTTACCGATCGTAAAGTAGCATAGGCCACCCACCAGCTTTCTCCATCCAAATCTGTTCTAGGCTCGCCTTCCTACTTGCTTCCTGTTGCTATTCATCCTTTACATGTCTGCTTCCAATTACCGACACAATGTGTTCCTTGTTCTTCCAATTGTTATTTTACCTTCAGGATTCCAAGTTAGCACTTGTTTCTTGATGCACTTCGATAATTTCCGTAGTGTATTTCTTATCCATATATTACAACTTTTACTTATCTCCTCTTCAGATGGAAACTGGCCTGTTCTCTCAAACAGTAGACTGTTGTTGATGGTTTCCGGTCAACGGACGTTCAGTAGCTTACGTAGACAATTGATTATAAATATCTGTACCTTTCTGACGATGGTTGTGGTAGTTCTCCAATTTCAGCTCAGTACAGTAGAACTGTCTTGACGTTCGAATTGACGATTCTCACTTTGATATTGATTGACATTTGTTTTGAGTTCCAAATGCTCTTCAACTGTGGGAGTGCTGTCCTTACTTTGCCAATCCTCGCCCTTACGCTTGCATCCCATCCTCCTTGTTCAACGACGATGCTGTTCAGGTACGTGGAACGTTCTACCTAGTTGTTTCATATTTCCTTCTCTTGCAACTTTCTTCACTGTCATTGCTAGATCTTCCACATATTTCTGCTTGTCAGACCGAACTCTCCCCTTCATTTGCTTGATTGCGTCTCTGTATTCAGCTTGTGCATTGACTTGCTCCGTTCTTGTTCGGCTGTTTTCAATTGATGTCTTCTTCTTCTTCCTTTCTTGAATCCTGTCCAGAGTTTCCACAGGGACCCATTCCTCATGATGATGCTTCTTGTGACCCAGAACCACTTGACACGTTGTAGTTAGTGCCTCTTTCATTCCTTTCCTCCATAGTAGTTTCTTCGTCTTTGAGTAGATCTTGTAAGGTTTGAAACCTGTTGTTGAGAGCCATCTTGAATTCGTTGAGTTTGTCATTATCTCGAAAAAGTGTCTACTGACCCTTTCTTATGTTATTTGTCCAGTTGTCCAGTGCTTCTTTAGCTTCAGCCTCATCCTGGCAACCACCAGCTAGCGGTGATCTTAAGCTATGTCAGCTCCTCTCCTGGTTCACACGTCTTCTATTGACCTTCTGAATCTTTAAGTGATGCAAATATGGTAGATCTGGTTCTGTGTAGTTTAACCCGGTTGAACACATGTAGATTTGTGTATGCGTTTGCGTGGAAATACTGTGCCGCCTATAACCATTTTGTTGAAAGCACATAAATTTGCAACTCTTTCACCTGGAAGTGCCTGTATAGACCAGATATTCACACTATATCAGGTCCTAGAACATGTAAGTCCTCCAACTCTTAAAGAAGTTGAAAAAGCTATAGGAAATCTGAAGCGGGGGAGAGCAGCAGGCCCTGACAGGTTTACTCCTGAGATTTTTAAGGATGGTGGTACATTATTAGCAGTCAGATTAACCGACGTCTTAGGTAGAATTTGGGAACTGGATGTAATCCCATCTGACTGGTCTCAATCACTGATTGTGCCAGTCTATAAGAAAGGACAAAAGTCCTCTTCTGACAATCACAGAGGAATCAGTTTGACTAATATAGTGTCTAAAATATTAGCTTCAATAATACTTCGACGCCTAACTAAAGCTCGTGAAGAGCAGACTAGAGAAAACCAGTCTGGTTTCCGATCTGGACGTGGCTGTATAGACCAGATATTCACACTATGTCAGGTCCTAAAACATAGACACACATTCAGATGTCCCACAATGGTAGTATTTCTCGACATTAAGGTGGCATTTGACTGTTGATCGTGAGGTTCTATGGCAGTTTGTCACTGAAGGAAGTACCAAAGAAGTATATTAACCTTATACAAGATCTCTACTCGAACACAACTGGTCGAGTAAGAGCTTATGGCGAATTGTCATCAGAATTGGTTACCTCAAGTGGTGTTCCTCATCTAAATTTCCAGGAGTTGGACTTTTACCGGAAAATCCACTTGTTGATTTAGAATATGCCGATGACATAGTTCCATTTGGTGAAGACGCTGAAAAAATGCAGTCTTCTGACCACTTTAAGCAACAATGCAAACTGTTGCTTCATGATTTGGTTGCATCGACACCTGAACTAATGATAGGGAGTGAAGTAGTTGAGTGTCGACCGCTTAACTCATCTTGGGAGTCTCATCAGCACGGATACAGAATACTCGACTAGCTTTCGTCAACTTGCATCATTTATGGCGTAGGCGAGATATCCGTCTATCAACCAAAGGACGAATTTACTGCGCAGCACTTCTTTTCGTCCTACTTTATGGCAGTGAAACATGGCCGGTAAGAGTAGAGGATATTCGTAGGTTACTAGTATTCGATCGTAGGTGTCTTCGAAGCATTGCTCGTATAGCCTGGGACCACTGAGTAAGTAATTTAGTTGTTAGAAAACGAGTACTAGGTAATGATGGCGAAACAATTGATGACGTAGTGAAACTTCATCACCACCGACTGCACCGAAGTGCGATGTTTTATGGTGTAGGAGTAGGTTGGAATGAAGCTAGGGGTGGCCAGATCAAAACATGGCACAAATTCACTGACAAGTGGACTGAGCCATGTTGGTAGGTGTAGACTACTTGGTTAGGATCCGCGAGATGATAGCAACTGATGGTTAGAGACCTTGAATGGCATGGCTCAAAATCGCTTGCAATGGCACAGGTGCATCCACTCTTTGAGTTCCCCCAAATTCTAATTTTCTGAATTCTTCATGTCCCTTTTTTTCCTCTTTCCAAATTTATTTCACTGGATTATACTGCTTGGATAACATCTTCTTCAAACCCTAATGTTTCCGATTACTGCTTACACTTTTACTACCTCTACCACTATGAGATTTGAATTGACAATTGTACCTCTGTGCTAATGTGGTATGGCAACTCGAACTGATGTACGAATTTCTAAGTTGTTGCTGACTGACTGACACCATTCTTGTTGCTTTCTCCCAGTCGGCCTATGTCGTCCCATGATATCTTCATATCCGGTGTTGTCCACTCCAAATTTTCCTGCTTTTATGAGCAGCACTAGTGAAACTCCTTGCATGTGCAAAGCATTTTCTTCCTTATGGTCAGAGTACAACAGCATCTCGACTTTCACCGTGAGGCGTCATAATTCTTCCACCAACTTCCTGGGCAGAGTTTAATTTGTCTATCCTGGTTAGCGCTATTTTAGCAAGTTTGTCTTCTATGGGATGAGGTTGCTGGTCCCACGCCCGACCTTCCTACTTTACCTGAGCTTTGGACCGGTATTAGCTCTAGAAGAGCTACAGGCGGAGTTCATAATGATTGCCTAGAAATAACTAACAGTGATGATATAAAATTAAGTACAGAGTGGAAAGTTTAAAAATATATTTGATTGTTGTAATTAATATTAACTCCAAATGCTGGTGTGTGCTTGATTTAAAGAAGTACCGAGCCTTTTAATGAATGTTAGGTAAGCATGCTACATACTATATTAATTTTTATAAAACTTCGGAGGATATATCTATTCATCATTTATATATATAATTGTAAGCATATAAATTTGATTGATTCAGTGAAATGAGTAGATGAATAAATTATGAAAGGGTGATCACTGGCAAAATGATTAAATTACTACAGATTATGTCGGTTATTTTTACTGACGCTGAGATGATGAATTTTACCGAGTTACAAAAGGTTTTTGTTATAATCGAACGAAGAATAAATGAATGGTAACTGCTAGAGATTATTTGTGGATTATAATTATTATACATATTCTTATTAGATGACTATCAAGTAACTAGATCATATGTATATTCATATTCCTTTTATCATAAACTTTCATTTGACCTATTGACTACTATTATACGATTTACTATTCTCAAATTATTAGTTACAGTCTCTTACATTCACAGTTATTTTTGGCTTGATCTCGTATAATTGCCCTTCTCTATTTTATGATGTGATGTGGTCTGGTTTGTTTGTATATAAACCACGTATGTCTGAAATGTTCGATTCATACAGTCGAGACTGAGATTGTGTTCTGGACTCAACGGGCAGGGCTAGGCGAGAAGGACCAATAAGGATTTAGAGCTGAGGCAAGGCTGCTAGGGTTATTTGACGTGTCATTGGTTTAACACAAGAACAAGGTCATACAAGTCGGTATTTTGATCGATTTTGTCACGTGACAATTGACAGGAGCAAAAGTCATAACGGTTTTACTTCGATATGGATTTGTTGATGTAGCTAATGGATGTGTACAGCATAGGAGAACTACAAATGGATAATGGATTGGTGCATTAATGATTAAGGAGTTTGAATCGCATACACTATGCAAACGTCCGAACTCTATTTTATCTGCTTTAGTTTGGGCAAACAGGTAATTCATCAGCCTTTGTTAGCGAAGCCAGGGATACGGATTTTTAATTGGTAAATGAGGTTAATAAACAAATGGTTTAAATTCACTGCCTTTGAAGAACGAATTAAGCCTGATGATTTCATTGAGCAGACAGTTTCTAAGTTATATGTAGTTGTTTTTTAGTAAATGTAATTTTGAATGTAAGACAGCCACAGTAATTAAGACCTGTGATGGACAGATCACTTCATGATAACCAGATTAAAAAGGATGCAATAGGTGTTTCATAACGGTTAATGAAATAAATATATGGCATAAAACAAACACTTTTAAAAACATAAATAAGGAGAAACTGACTTTTCAGCTTCTAAAGTAGCAGAAGAGATTATAACTCGCAAGTCAATTGGCCGTTTACGTAATACTTTCTTAATAAGACCCAACAAAATATCTGTTTGTAAAGATCTTTCATGAACTTCATCTAACATGATTACACGGAAGCGAGTGAGAAGCGGATCACGTAACAGTTCCTGTATCATCATACCCTCGGTAAGATATGAGATGACGGTTGAATTTGGTGTCCAACATTCCTTTTTCAAAAAACATTGTGAAAACATATCCATATATATTAAACCGAATTTAATTGAAAGACAGATAAAGGAATTGATACTGTTAAGTTTTTTGCAAGAAGTTGGGTACAGGAGAAACGGGGACTCGTTAGACACACAAAAGTCTATAAATTTACTCGCGTTTAAAATGGATTACATATTTCTAAAGCATCATAAATTTCACAGATCCGTAGACTGACTTTCCAAAGTTACAAGTGGAGCACACTTCACTCCTGCACGATTCAAAGTGGATATTAATCCTTTAGGTAGGCTAGTATTTGAAGATTTAATATGAATAGCGAATCCTAAGGACACTCTTTATTACTTTTGTTGGAAGAAATACGAATATTACCCCAATCAGTTATGAGATGATGTTTTGGGTTCCAATCCCATCCCCATCGCCAAATTTGCTAGGTTTGAAGCTATTACGAGTTCACTTAGTATGCGAACGGAACAAAGATTTGTGACCGAAGACCAATAAGCTAGATATTCTGATGCGTCCCAGCCCCGCTAACTAGAGGAAGTAGTCCAAGCTTGGAACGGGAAAGTATATTCCGTAAGCCAGAAGCACGAGTGAATAATAACAGACACAAATCAAACGTGCATGTACAGCATAAAACTGTCCTTGAGAAGCGTTGCGAAAATAGCATTCTAAAAATACACAACGGACCAATAGCGTTAAAGATTCTCCCAAGTGGGAAATACGACATGAAGGTGAAAAGAGCGCTTTTGAAGCGAAAACAAGGAAATTTAAATTTCCAAAATAAAATTATAAGATTAAGGCATTTACCAAGTGAGTTCTGGGGATCTAACCTCCCCAACAGTATAGCATTCAAATTATTGAGACAAACAACGCAATAGCAATAATTATCCGAATACAGTTTAATATACACATAATAAATTAATCAGAACGGATGGGTTGAGGAAACGAACCACTGTTTAACCTTCTAACCTATTATCGTTTCGTACACGAATAGTAGGTATAATACACTGAATAAACGTTGGTGTTAATACACAAATAAATAACCCTGAAGTATAATCCATACAGCCTGTGGGAAATGAAATGGCTAGGTTTACTAATTCGACAACAACAACTGATGTGCTAATTGTGCCAATTTAAAGAAGACATTAATTATGCTCCATAAGACAAATATTTTCGTCCTTTTTAAATTACAATCTATAATTATATTTTATTCAACAATGGGATGAATCCCAAATCTCTGTGTACAAAATATACTTGTACAACGGCTTTCAATACTTTGAATATCAACATATTCTAACTACCTTTTAATATGTTAATCAAACAAACTAGAGTGAACTAAAAATGAGCTATTACTCCTCCCACTTTCCTAATTGCCATTCTTGTCCCTTTACTCTTAAATAACCATTGTTTCCAACACTTGCCGCCAGTCATTAAATAGTCTGTTAATTTATAAATACATGTTTCAACTTATTTATTGGATAATAGAGGTTGAAAAAAAGTAGTAAAATTATCCTATTAATTTGCATCTTTTAATCAGTTCCTTGTTTATCAATAATTTCAAAAACCTTTCGAATCCGAAATATGTAGAGTCATGATAAAAAGCTAATTGGAAAAATTCCTTTGAAAAGTTAACTATTTAAAATGTCTAAATAGCTTTCGCTCTCAACAAATTAAATAATTTCACGTCGACATTCAAAATGAGAATTGAGCAAAGAAATATTTTTCAGTTAGATTTGCACGACGACTTCACTCAACTTGCCGGAGCATAATAATTTGCGCTTGTTTCGTTTAAGATGGAGTACTTTTGGTTTATATCCAAACAATTGCCAGAGATTAAAAAAAAGAGGAATAACCCAGTTTGGAAAGACTCTTATACACCAAAAGTCAGCGGAAAAAGCGACGACGTATGGTAACTCTTACTTCAAAACGTATGATATATCCAACTTGTTTACCGATTCGCCAATTTTTCTCTTCAGCTACACGTGTAGCCAAACTTAATGCAGCTACACGCCTTGGCTGTGTCACAGCCATGGTAACTCCAAATGGATTAAAATTACTGGATTTTGAGTCCAACCAACCGGCTTCATAGACGTATTGAGGAAGTTGTGTAGACTTTCCGCTCCCAGTCTCTCCAGTAACGACTAAAACCCTGAAAGAAGATTAATACTGAAGCATCTACATTATTTATTCTTTATTTCAAACATAATCTATACTAAAAAGTGAATATTATGAACTATTAGTCAGATTTGATGACATGACTAGCTGTATTAGTGTAAACACTTGATAAAGCGTATAATCACAGCCAAATAAAAACAATAATGGACGTCTATTAAATATTTAAAGTACATCCATTGTATGATGACTATGTGAAAATAAACATACATCATGTGAACAAAATAAATGGCCAAATCATCACTGGAGATATCACTCGACTGCTCGAATGGAATTGTCCTCAAATTGATATAGAACTTCATCTAAATGCGACCAATCCAAAGAGACTAATAGCTTAATTGTTGTAAAATTGAATTCTTAAGGTGTGATGTAAATTTCATAAAAGGCAGCATGTAAATTACAAGCACCGCCTTTAAATTAGTACGTATTGTGATTAAAAACATGAGATTTTTCACAGTGTTCTTTTCGCTGTCTATTTTTTCAATAGGTGACCGAGTCATCTAGTGTATGAATTTCTAAAATGGTAACAGTGAGAATAATTAACGCAAAGGCACTTGAAAATCGATTTTGCTACTACAACGTCACAGGATTAATCTGAAACAAATATAAAGCAATGAGCTAGTAATTGTAATTAGTGCACATCATCCCAAAAGGTTTTGCTATGAAACTACGGGTCATGTGGTTATTAGTCAATAGAAAGTAATTTTGGTCAGCTTAGAGGTAAAGACTTGATAATAAATAATAACTATGAAACACTAAAACAGTACCATAACAGAAATACCAAACACAATAAAAAGTACACTTAAATGCAAAATAAATTTTATCATAACACAACAAAAATTCAAAGAATAATTAAGATGACCATAACTACCTGGAATTTTCAAGGAGATATAAGAACTGACTTCTTTTGGTGAAAACAGGAAGGTGTTGGCGTTGTTGCTCCACAGAATGGAAAGAATCAGAAGTCGAAAACTGTAGAATAGAGCTACCGCAACCCCCGTCCTCATTGGGTTCAGGTACTTCTTCTGACAGGTCGGAACCAAGTCTTTCTTCACTATCTGGATGGATAAAACGCAAGTTCATAACTGCAAACGTTATGTTTATTTTTCAAGATCTCGGCCTAACGCATGCCACAGGAGCTGAGTAAGAAATAAAGAGACAAGAATAAATGAGATTTGACAGGAAAATCCACTGACAAAAAGTCCGTTAAGCTAGTGGAAACGACTGGGCAAATTAACATATAAGTTGACAACATAAAATGCTACTTAAGTCTATCATATTGACCCTTACCACGGTTTTAGAATAAGTATCTAGAATCAGTCGCCCACGGACAATGTAAGAATTGGATCCCTTTACGAATACAACAGAAACCTCTTCCTTGGTTAATACCAAATCCGAGTTAATCATTAGTGAAAATTTTATAAATCATCATAGCAAAGATTACGGACCCGTCGTTAAAAAGAATGTAGGGACAGGATATGGTGAAGCAACGGCATCGTATATTATTGTGATTGAGAATGATATTACTTTAGAAATCGGACCAGTTATGTGATTTAACATGCTTATGTTCCGGAGAATACTTCCCGGGCTATTTCCCAAGTTTTAAAGGTGAAGATGCTAATGAAATGATAGGACTCGTTCTGAGGAATATATTGTGTAATGGTTCTTTCAAAGTCAGAAATTTTTGGTCATCAATCAAACTGTGGTAGGCGACATTACACTACAATACATGAATCATAGGGATCAGATGAGTAGTGTTAATAGTATACATAATAATGCCGAACACTATCAAGAAGCTGAACAAAAATAGTACATAAACCATACAGATCACGAGGGTATCATTAACGATATATTTGTTAGTAAAATACAAACAGTTGTCTAGAACTGCTTTTGTTTAGATAGTTTTTACTGATTTATTAGATTCACATGCAATCTGACACAAGTGAGCAATAAAAATATACGCGGTACACAAATAAGATAACACTGCGAAAAAACAAAGCGGGGTAGAAGAATAGGATCTGAGGCTTTTTTGGTCCCATCGTGATGTTAGCCTGGTTGTAGCAAGTTCGGTTTACGAGTAAGTGAGAACAGTTCTGCCCTATACTTGTGAAACCTGAACTCTCCAAGGATGTTAAACATTTCGTGTTTGGTCACCGTTGTCTCTAAAAGTGTTGATAGCCAGCGCTAACACCATGTTAATACAGCTGAAATTCAGCAATTTGCGTTCGGGCATAGTGACGATAATTCAGTCGGTGTCACCATCTTGGAACACTGACTACGGTAACTAGAGCATATCGTTTTAGCGACATCTACCTATGACTGGAAATTTTAGACGACACCGGCCGAAATTTGTGCTCATTCTTTAAATTTTCCCAAGATCCAAACGTGATGGCTTTAATCACTTGCATTTTTAGACTAAATCCTTGTTTAGCCTTCACTATCGTCGATACACATATTTAGATCTCCATATACCTTTTGTGAAAACCAAGTTCATTGAACCAGGCATTTGTATGGATGAGCCAGTTCTTATTTATAACAGACTGAGCACCACTTTAATGATTCGAAGGCAACTCTATTAAATGTCCGCAGTGATGCTGCCTTCCCACAACGGGGAGTTAGGAAAGGTCGGTCCCGAAACTGACACCCCAGTTTGTCCTAAAATTTCCGTTCCTAGTCGTAAGGTCTGAAACTACTCACCAAAAAGTCATGTGGCCGGCCTCAAGAAAGCGTCCATTGAGCGCTGCGACCATATTCCCAAAGTCCTCTTCTGTTCAGGTCTACAGTGTAGACGACCAGGAATCGGTAACAATCTTTGTATGTTCAACAACAATTGAACCTTACGAAGACAATTAAAATTATCCTAAGCACCAGAACATAAGGTGGAAATTCTTATGAAATAGCACTTATTCTTGGCAGATGCTGTCCAGTAATAGTGATTCACATCTAACTACGCTAAGCATCAATTTACTCAAGAGTTATGGAATCTATTCATGTCTTCGATAGCAATATGGTCATGCCCGTCTATTTTCCTTTAAAGTTATCAGCATTTAAGGTCTCTCTGGCCTATCTTATGAAAACAAATTGAGACGTCTCAACTTGTTTCTATTATCTTATCACAGGTTACGAGGTGAATTAATACTGGCTTACGGTATACTGAACGATAATCTTGGTATCATGTTTTACCTTTTTCCACTTTAGACTATTATCTGGGAGGATATTCCAACAAATTTCAAAAAACCGAGGTCAAATAGTTTACGTCTAGAGTCCCGTTTCTTGCACAGAGTAGTGAATTACTGGAATTCTCTACCAGAACACGTAATATCAGAACCTTCTACAGATACTTTCAAAGACAGATTGGATCTCCACAGCAGTACGAATTGCAGTGATTCACAAGCCTCGGCTGACCTTATATCCCTACTATTGAAGACTGATGTATGTGACATGCTAATATTTTATTTCAATATAAATACAGGTACATAGATGCACCAAATATATGTGCGCCACATTTCGTCATTCGATTTGTGTGAGGGATGGAATACTGCCCGAACGCCAAACCCATGCAGGTGGTTTTCTAAGGGGGCCACACCCCAAGCCCTCGACCTAGAGGTTTAACCCATAAGACAGTGGAGCAACGTTAGGAGATGCAGCCCTATGATAGCCGGTGACCAACAATAGGTTCATACGCCATTTGTTCCCTCAGGATCCTGGAGTCCATGTGCACCACTGGTCTAAAATTAAGGATTTCCAACACCCCTGAGTAGATCTTCTGTACCCATCGACCCGGCTAAAGCGCAGGACATTCGCTTTTCGTTCTCTCAATTTCGTAAACAACACAAGGTGAGTAGGACTCTCCTTGTAATGTCTGTATACGCGTGACCATAAGAGAGTATTTCAAAAGGGAGGGCTGATTTTGTCCACCCTCGGACGTACCAGTACATTTGGATCTAGATGACTTGATTAAGATGCTGCGGTGGGTTGTGCTCGAGTTTTGGCTTGATGATCATATGCTAACGGACATGGCAAGCGAAAAAAAAAGACGAAGACCTATGGGGCTTAAACCGCCGTAGCACAACTCCAAATAGATTGTTAGGAACTATTCTACGACAATAACAATTATGACGGCCGCTTGTATTTTACTCACAACAAAACGAAATTAGGGATACCTGGACGCGGTTTGTGCAAAGATACTTCCTATGGTCCTGGTTCGAGTAACCGTATTTAGTCACGACGATATTGCAAATTGTGATCGTAGAGTTAGCAAAGTTTTGGGAGGGTGTAATGACTGAACTTTGACTTTTCAATACGCAATCTTTCGCGTGTGATTGGTGTACTGGTATTTATATGATCATTATCCATAATTTCAGACTAAGCAATAGAAGGTGCAGATCAAAAAGCACCCTAAATAGGGACTTTTAAATAATCCTAGATGACTAACAACCTACAGTCGAGCAGTGATCACTGTGTCAGATTTTTTGAAAGACCTGGGGACACTTATTACGTGATACTTTTCCTGACCAGTTAATTACAGTAAATGAACATAAATAACTGGTCCATGGAACTGACTTGAAATAATAATAATAATAATGCTAAGTACTATGGATTACCTATAAATTTTGAAAGCTCAGCGACTGGGATTTATGAGGGTGGTCTGCTTGAATAGCTGGGCTACCCATTTCTGCCATCCAGATATTCCATCAAGTTACCTGTTTTTCGGTTTCAACAGATCATCATGTCAATTCATTGCACAACCTAGTCGGGTGAGTTTGTGAAAACCCGAGCTCCCAACTTTGGGGAAAACTTGGCACATTTTGAAGAAATAGCACAAAAACCCTAAAGTTTGAGGAAGGCTATTTCACTTTGGGGATTTTCCCAAAGTTAGGAGCTTTGGAAGGTGACGACCTTTCGCTGTACAAGTTAAGGAAGAGCACAATCAGAAACATTGTGGTTGCTGGTAATATACATCAAAAATAATGTACATTATTCAGATGTCGATTTATAAACTACTAACTTTTAGTTGGCGATCACATTAATTATCATCGAGATCAACCAAGGAATAAGAAAAGGAAACTTTTTGAAATACTTTGCACTGAGAACTCTATATTGTACCAAAAATATGATAATATATTATTACGTTTCGCGTTATTATCTTCATAAAGCCAATAATAATAATTACATCACAGGACTAGCGGCTCTTTATTACTTTGCAAACAGAATTTAAAACTACTTTATGCCAAAAAAGTTCGAATTTTATTGGACATATAATATACATTTTATAGATAACCAAGCAATCAAAGACAATAAGCAAAACATGAACAAAAACGCCTCAAGGGTATCGTTGACTGTGAAAATCGCTGAGCACTTGAAGGTCAAAGAATCGTAAAATGATTGCTGCGTCACCTCGACAATTAGCAAGGCTTTGTAGAATTGGTCATATCAAGAAAATTTTAGATTTGATTTGAGTTCAGCCACATTATGTCTGATAACATCAATCCTTCAAGTAACTAAAAGGACGGCATCGTAATGATGTGTGATATAAGACGAACTTTTAATGATATTATATTATCACGACGATAGCAGTGGATCACCGTTACCTTCAGCTAGGAACCTAGGTATAATATCGATAAAAGAATAAAAAGAGATCAGTAAACCATATTAAGATACTATCCTTAGTCCTTAAGAATATGTCAAGTTTCCTCTTTATGGACTCCTGGGAAGTCTCTTGGACTGGCACAGCCGAAGACGAATTTCAGCATCTGACTACTCTTAAGGAGTAGCAGGTTGGTCTACATTTTGTTCTGCTGTGTTTTGTCTCCACTTTCTTGGTATTACCCCTTAGGTTTGTGTCGGAACTTGACTTAAGTAGGTGTTCAAGAAGATGCCCAGAAGTGTTGAA